AGCTCCTGTGCCGCGGTCCAGGGGTGGATCAGAGATCACCTAGAGGGTATGGACGTGGACCTTGTCGAAGTAGCGGTGTCGGAGCACTCGCTTACTCAGGTCAGTAAGGCAGGAGGCCTGCGTAGCCCTCCTGCTGCGGTTCAAGGAGCCAGCTCCTACGGGATCCGCTGGGACTTCTCCTCAGAGGAGGACCGGCAAGCCCTGAGCCTTCTGGTCGATACGCTCGACCCCAAGTGCCTCGTTGTGGGCCTATCCGGTAAGGGTATCCCCAAGGAGTTCCTCTCCCTGGTCAGTAGGTGGGGAGCAATGGTGGCCGAGAAGGGGCGCCAGATGCTTGTTACTATCTCAGATCAGGAAGGACTTTGGGAGCCTTGGGAGGCCCAGGGGTGGGCTCCCGTGTTTGGGACGCTTTCGGAACCGAAGTTCCCTTGGGCTTTCGGCCGAGCTGATCGATGTCAGCTCTTGGGATCAGTTCCTAGGGGTTCTAAGCATTCGGAAGGAGCGCTGATCTGTCTTTCCAACTTCAAGATGGATTCGGTTTGCGTTCGCTGTGCAAAGCCTGACGCTTTGGGCAGGGTAGCCCATCAGCACGCGAAGGCCCGGACCTCTTCGAGGGTGCTCGCTCCGGCCTTGTGCCGTTGCCTGGCGGATGCTGGTCTGAGGGGCGACCAGCCCCCTTGCTACGACAGCATTTGCTCAGTGAGCGGCCAGCCGCCGGCTGAGCCTGCGAAGCCTTCCGCTCCGGAGGTACCGTTGCCGGACGTTAAGTCTGGCGAGGACCTCTCCCCTCAAGAGAGAGCGAAGATGGAGGCTGAAGTTCTGGAGTTCTCCAGGAAGATGGATGCTCACTGGCGGTCGAAGGCAGACGCCAAGGATTGGGATGGTGTCTTCGCGGACCTGGAGGTCTATGCGTTGGCAGGCCAGGCTGTGGCTGCCGATCCCCGCCGTACGCCAGAGTATAAGGCGCAGGTCATTGAAGGCCTCAGGTTGGGCCCTACGGAGAACCGTCCGGGGCTCACCGAGGCTGATCTCGCAGCCATTAAGGAGACGGTGGGCCGGAAGGCCGCTGCATTCTGGGTCGAAGGTACGGCGCGTACCACGGTCCGGAAGTTTGCGCACGACTGCGTCCCTACGGGGCCTCCGGTCAGCTCTCAGCCCCATGCGCTCCGCGGGGAAGCGGCGCAGTGGGTTGATGACCGGCTTGAGGAGGAGGTCCAGAGAGGGCAGCTTGTGCGAGGCCCTTCGGCCTGGGGTTCGGCCCCTTTCCCTACGAAGGAGATGCCTTCCCACAAGCGGGCGAGGAAACGCCGCTTGGTGGTAGATTACCGCAGGGTAAACGCCAGGGTGAAGAGATCCACTTACTACTGCCGGCGGAGCACGGATGTGCTCGCTGCAGCGGTAGGATCAGTCTGGTATAGCTTCGTTGATGCGGTTTCCGGGTTCAATCAGATCCGCAACACGAAGCGTGCCAGGGAGGTTCTTGCCATTGTTGCGCGTAGCGGTAAGTACCTCCCTATTGGGCTTACCTTCGGGCCTGTCAATGGTCCCGACGATTTTAACTACGTCGTGGACCGCGCGTATGCGCCGGGTCGCAATCGAAGGCTTAGGTTCACTAAGGAATGGGTGGCCTATGTCGACGACCTGACGGTTCGTACAGGTAGGGTCGTTGACGGCCGTTTCCTCACGGATGCGTGCGCTCGATAGGCGCTGCGGTCTCCAGCTGGGCTCTCTCCAGGAGAGCGCGCAATCGCGCAGCCCACGCCACAACGGGCAACATTGGATGGAAGACGGGTTTGGTGGCCGCTGCGCTGGCGCCTACCCTCTTCACTGTTGAGCGCGGTGCCAGAGAGGTGGCACACGTGAGCCTCACTGCAGTTGCCACTGCGGCGGAGGACCTCATCGAGGAATCCTCTGGTATCCTCGTTCGGGGTGTCCGCGTGGTTGGCTTGACGGCCGTCGTCCTACTGTGGACGTTCGCGGCCGTAGTGCTGTGGTGGGCCGGACGTGTCGCCACTAACCGGCTAATGCACGCCATGAACGGTAACCCCTTTGGGAATGCTGTTCTGGTGTCGCTCGAAGGCCGGGAGGCTGTCTTTGAGGTTGCATCAAAGACTAAGGCCGGAGCACACAGGGTTCTTGTGAAGGTCGGGTCGGGCGCGGACGGCGCAGGCTGCGACTGCAAGGCATTCCTCAACGAGGGACGTTGTGGTCACATAGAACGCGCTGTTGAAGCTGCGGGGCAACTCGTGGCCATGACAGGCGCGAGCGCTGCCCCAACGCTGTCCGTCGCCCCGGCCGCGACTAGACGCGCCCGTGCGATCCTCGGCGCGCCGGCCCTGGAACAGGGGTGCCTTGCCGGCATGGTGTCGAAAGCGAGATCGCTCTCTGAAAGAGCTCGGAATGTCGGGAACCCGTCCGAGGGTTGCCTTGACGGCTTTACCAAGCTCAGAGGCCGCCACGAGGTGGCCACAGTGTCGGCGCCTCCGACAGAGACTGTTCCGAAGACGCCTGCAGCGGAGGCTTCCCGCCAGGGTACCTCTGCGGCGTCTCCGGCTCCGACAGCTCCCATGTCGAGCCAGGCACGGCGTGTCAGAGACTTCCCGATCCCTGACGGCTTCGAGCGAGCCGGGGTCAAGTTTCTGACCCTTCCGGAGTATCACGCTGTGGTACAAACGATGCTATCGGACGCTGGGCATGGGGACCACGTTTACGTGCGAGCCTACAGCTTCGATAGCAAGCCTTTGGTTGGAGCCCTCGTGTCCTCGCTGGAGCGAGGCGCCCGAGCCCACGTGCTTGCCGACAACTCGCAGACGAGCCGGACCAAGCTCCAGCTGCAGTCCCTCAAGGAGCTAGGGGCGGCTGGCGTCCAGGTCCGTGTCGGCAAGGGCACCTCGGTCAAGGCGGCTTACGCCGCCGAGAACCGCACGGACGTGAGCATCGGCGCAGGCCTCGCGGGCATCCACCACGCCAAGACGGTGCTCGTGACGAGGCCGGACTCCACAGTTAGCGCCGTGATAGGAAGCCTAAACTTTAGTGCTAGTTCACGGGCCAACGCGGAGGTCGGCATCGCGGTCGCCAGTGTGCTGACCTCTGAATTTAGCCAAAAGTGGCTAGATTCGTTTGGCACCGAGTGGTCCAAGGCGCTGAAGCTCGAGGAGTTCGAAGCACCTCAGCGGAACCACCGCGGGCGGGCAAAACCCTCAAATGTCCAGCAGCCCGCCGCGCAACCCAACGTGGAGCCGCAGTGACCGTGGACTAGAAGTCGCGGACTGCGCTCCGCCCTTCTAGCCACCTGTGGCAACTTCAGTTTTGGTCGCAGCACCTAGCTGCTTTCCGATGAGACGACAGGGTGGCGTATCCGCTCTACAGGTCTTTGACGGGAGCGGCTAGGGAGGCACGGTAGTGCTCCCGAAGCGCGTGGAGTAACGCCGCAGCTTCAGCTGCTCGTTTCACCAGCCCTGTGGCCGCAGTGCGGCGCAGGCTGTGTACAGTAGGAAACCAGAGCCTCGTGCAGCACAGGCCGTGAAAAACGAAGGTCTTGTGCTGAGTGCGAAGGGTTTGTAGGAGGGCAGGGTCTGTAGGTCAGTTTTACGGCCTCCGGCCGCCCGCGGAATCCTACGGCTCTATCGTGCTCTCGGCTGAGGGGCGAATGTAACTGTACATAGTCTGCGGGCTGGCTGTTGTGCTGTATGCTTTTATGCATGCTCTTCTGTAATTCGTATTCATAACATTTTTGGCTCAAGTGAGCACGGCAGTGTGTCGTTGGTAGCTTCTCGTTGCCGCGACGCAATTGCGCGCAGCCCGTCCTGGGCGGACGTTCGACCTGTCACGGTCGTTGGACTTTCTGCTTGGACGGAAAACGAGGGTGCGTGCTGCCCCTTTGGGTTTCCGTTCTCCACAGGGTCTTATCAGCATGCCGGAATGCGGGAGACTTACCTGATTCAAGAATGCGAATCGTGGCCTGGTTATCTTCAAGAACAACAGGCTGAACAGAGTGAGGGACCGACACGATCAACCCTATATCGGTATCATTCCTGGTAGGTGCGTTGTCACAGTCACCCCCCGTGTTCCTGATGCCATCGATCTCACGATGCAGGTATGCCTCTGCTTCCGCATGGCGGCGATAGTCCCTGACTGATCTACGATACACGCAGATGCCGGCTTCATATTCCTTATCAAGGATCTCATCAAGCATGTCCCTTTCTTCCCAAGCCACATCTGATTGGTATGCAAACCACTTACCTTTCTCAAGGAGCCAAACATTACGAATGGGGTGCGAAGTGAGATTATCGGGTGGTGGAATCACCTTAATCTTATTGTACACATCCAGCACACGCCCGTCGTCAAGCTCTTGAAGGCCGGTGAAAGTGATCTTTCCAAACTCAGGCAAAGGAGTAGTTTTAGGAACAAATGGTTTGGACTCTCTCGTCAGAGGAGTGGGCGATTTCGTTGCAGTATCCCCCCCCGCGTTCAGGAGCACACTCCAAAGTGCGGATGAAGGAAGGCCTAAGGCTCTCAATGCAACATTAGCACACACAACCTCTGCTTCAGTGGAACTGAGTGCAGTGCTCGTTTGTTTCTTGCTAAAAGCGGCAAGAGGGTAGTAGGTGTTGGGACCAACAAGTACCAGGATTCCTCCGGACGTAGATTTGTTGTCATGCTCGCCAGCATGGTCGCTGTCAGCGAACAACCAAAGCTTGCATTCAGAAGGCTTATCTCCTATAAAACACTTCATGGTATAGTGCTTGGTGCTGTTCACGTAGCACATAAGCCTATGCAAAGCCTTATCACAGTCGGAAGACCACTTGGTGACCCTACTAGCCAACCCCTGAACGGCCCGAAGCAGATCGTATCTGGCCATTCTTGCTGCAAAGAGCAACTTCATGAGGACTCGACTGGCGATGGGAGCCAGCCTCCCTTTTGCTTCGGCCTCAGTTTCCACTGGGCGAGCGATTTTATCATCATAAAAGGGTGTGCTGACCTTCTTGAGATTGTGGTACTCAGGACCAGCAAGTTGCTTGTACTTGTCTATGGCTTGTTGCAGAAAGGACGACATGTCATAGATGACCTCACGAACTTTCTTGTACATGCAACCTTGATTGTCACCCAATTGGTTGATATCATAGAACGCTTGTTTCTTAGCTTCCTTCTTGGCTTCATTCTTATCCCTGACGCGTTGCACAGCGGCCATAGCACTGGCGCGATCATGGGAACCAGAACAAATATAAGTGGTACCTGTCCACAGCTCCCCCCGCTTTGCGCGGTTACCATTATCATCCCACAATTCGTGAACGACATCGGGTTTCCCAACATCAGTGAGATGGGTACACCTGTGATGCCCCAGCCCATAAGCTGAAGCTTCCGCTTCGCGGGGTTGATAAAGAGCTTTGCGAGGCTGACAATGATGTCGAACCATTACACCTTCTTCGGGGAACGATTCAGTGTAATCTTCTTTAGCTGCAACACTAGCAGGCTTCGCCGCCGGATCGGGAACGGTCTTGTCAAAGACGTGAGCGAAAGGATGATCGGCCTTCCTGAGGGTGGAAGTGTTGGTGATGTGATCACAACCCAGATATCTTCCGACCGGGGTAGGCGTATCCATATCGATCTTAGACCCGATAAGTTCCCATCCACGGGCCATATTCTCTTTAGGGCCCGCCATCTTGAAATCATCAACATAAACGGCGAGAAGCAGCTTCAACTTCGGATGAAAGAACACTGAGGGCCATGCTGCTGAAAACACAAGCTGGAACCCTACCTGCTTCAGCATGCGCTCGCAATGCTGTTCCCAGAAGCCTCCACTATCAGGGTGGCCATACAGTGCAAGGTGAAGGCGGACAACAGGATCCTTGTATTTACCAACCCACTCCTCAGGCCATCTATCTCTAGGGAGACGAACCCAAGTGTCAGCACCCTTCAAAGTGGTTTGGGTGTAGGCCTGTTTCCCATCGGCCTGTTGACACTCATTTCCAGGAGCGTGACCATAGGCATCAAGGGCCTTTCCTGCTTCCATGGTTGCGGGGCTGGACCCCAACTCAGAGAACAGTGCGGAATCGGAGTTTTCGTCGCGCACATTATTCCCCTGAAAAACCGTCCTTCCCTTGAACTTCCTCAAAGGATCATTAGCAGGCAATTCACTTCCCTTTTCCACGCATATTTCGAACACCTTCCCCACATGGGCCTTCTTACCCTTTTTCTTAGCTTCTTTAGAAACCTCTTCCCATTCCCGAACAGAAGCCATGTCCCAGGCCTTCTTCTGCATGAGCTTGTTCCACTCAACATCTAACGCAGCTTGGGCCTTGGGACTGCTAAGAATCTCCTTTCTGCCCACCGGTCTGGCAACCATAGCCATAAGCTCATTGATCTCTTCGAGCGACGTGGGGCAGTTTGGCAAACTCTTTTCTCTGTGCTCAGGACTTCCGTCGAGCGATACTGGCATCGCGGGAAACTCGGGGCGTGACCCGCTGACCTCGCCAGAGGCAGGAACTTGTGGGGTGATAATAAACTCGGTTTTACCGATCCACTTGAACGATGTCTTCTTATTACGCCTCCGAACGTTGCGCCAATCGTCCTGATCGTTGACAACATCAACTCCACCGACTGGGAAGATAACCGAATTGCGGACCTTGCTAATTTGCTTAAGGTCAACAGGGCAATCGGTAAGATCAGGTGAGAAGAGCTCTCTTCTAGGAACGAAATGGAACCTTGTGAGTTTGTTCCCCTCTATCTTCCAACAGTCTTTATCAGGCAATGCGGCGGCAGAAGGCTTAGCACTACTGCTTGCTGAGCCACCAACTTCTTCGTCAAGCTCTGCAAGAGCAATCTTTCGTGCTTCATCATCAATGGCTTTCTCTTTCTGTTTCTTAGACAAGTTAACCCAGATGGAACTAGGTATGGAATCAGGTTTCTTAGATCCCCTTGTCCCCCCGTATCTTCGGCCAATCACGCCACTTGAATCATAGAACCTTCCACCTTCCGGTAAAGGAACAATCTTGCCGGTTTTGGGATCAATGACTTCAGGGGGCTTGACCGCCAGGTCAGCGATAGGAGGAGCGGCATCATCGCCAGCTTGCTCATCCTGTGCTTCAGCATCCTGGTTTTCGAGAGATTGGGACACAGGGCCTTCAACAGCCTCGGACGAGAATCCAGCCTGAATGCGCTCGTATCTCTCCTTCATAGGAAACGTGAAGTCTCCCCCCGGAATCTTGAACTGGTAGGCACTGATGGGATTCAGGCACTCATGAAAATCGTTACGGTTGAGTTCCTTCAAAGGTAACACCACGATTTCTTTGCGCCACTTCATCCCAGGTTGAAACCTATAGCCAAGGAAAACACCAGGTTCGGAGGTAGGAGCGAAACGTTCTCGGTTCTTGCGAGTAGCTTTGGGACCGACCCAGTAATCGATTCTACACCCAAACGGAATAAGCTCTCCCGGGAACTTGTCCCCGAATCTTTTGAACCAGGGTGTGTACTTCACATCATGCACATGACTGATATTGAATGCGGTGCACGAATGCTCCAACGCATATGGCCAATATACATGCGAGACGCCAGCCTGCAGAAGGTTGGTTCGAGTGCCTTCGGTCACAGACCGGACTTGCCTTTCGGCAATCGCATTTGACTGATGCAAGTAGGCCTTAGACTTCTCATGACGCCACTTCATGGTTTTCGCAGCAGTCTTGAGTTCAGGAGCGCGATCACTGTAGAAATTCTTCACTTCATCCTTTGGAGATGTGAAATGCTGAAGTGCAACAGTGCATTCTTCAGCTGACTTGAGAGCTGAGGGGTAGGCATAGCAAAAGCCTGTTGCAACGTCCTTAATCACCAGCGCCAGCCGGGAGTCCTCTATGATGGTGTCCTTGTCCCGATAGAGCACGATGTGGTCTGCTGTAACGTGGTCACCAAAGTCTTTGGCTTCAATAGTACGCACCCCTCCCGTCGCATATGAAGGAGGTTTGTACAACTTAGCCCTTTGACAAATATCACAGAACGGATTCTTCGGCTGATGCGACATCATATGATGCAGCGACTTAGCTTCAGCTTTCAGGACTTCTATACCCCGTTTTCTCTTCTTCCCATCGCCCTCGGACTCCCCATCTGGGGCGACAGCGGCTCCGTCAGAAGCGCGAGCTGCACCCGGATCATCCTTAGGCATGTCTTCCAGATCAGAACCTTCCTCCTCGAGGATGCGATTGAGGTAATCCATATCGTCTTCGTCATCATGACCACTTCCTTTCGATGTAGGCGGAGGATCAGGTTCTTTGGGTGGTTCAACTTTCTTTTCTTTTTCAGGCTTACCCTTAGTCTTGACCTTGGGCTTTGCCCGTAGTTCAACCCCTTTCTCAACTGGAGGTGTTCCGGCAACAAGGTCATACAAAGACGTTTCCTCGTCACCGGGTTCGATCAAAGACGGAGCTGAGACCTTGGATGGCACGTTGAAACCATACTCTTTAAGTCTCGCAAGCTGTGTAGCATCAAGCTTGTGCACAGCACGATTCACGTATGACGTGATGCTCCATCTGTCACCCTTCCAGGGACGGACACAGTGGTACGTCTTGGGATCAAACGTAATCATACGATGCTTGGATTTGTGAACTTTGCCTTTCAGCTTACTGCCGTCAGGCGTGCGAACAGAAGCATAATCTTTGTTCTCCCTGCTGATTTCTTCATCATGAATCCAAAGTTCGCCTCCCTCGAAGTCACCCAAACACATAGTGTTGTTCTTATGTTCACGATGATTGTGAGCATCTTTGTGCACCTTGACGCTGGACCCGTGATTAATGCACAGTGAAGAGCTGGGGCCCTTGGCACCATGATGTTTCAGATACTCATTGAGGAACTTCATTAGCTCCTTGTTCTGGTGACTGCGGTTAGTGATGCCTTGCATCCCGCCGTGCGAGAAGGCTCCGAGCACAACATACTCGGACTTCTTAGAGGACTTTGGGTCCTTGGCGATGATAGACCTCTGCTTCTTAGAGGCCTTGAAAGCTACCTTGTTTAACAAGGAGTAACATGATGCATGTGAGAAGTCGCCAGACTCTCGAAGCTTCTTTGCGATAGCCTCGGATGATTCTTCCGGCGCTGGCCTTCCGGCCGCGGAGGAGCTTTCAATGATCTGCGTCTTACCAGGACCGGACGAGGCCCGTCGCGCAGGGACGCTGATGTTTTCATGCCAGGACTTCAAGTACGGCACGTTATCCTTAACGTCCATATAGACCTTCTTCCCTTCGGGAGTCTTAAGGTACGGTCGTGAATTAGCCCTCCAAATGAAATCGAATCCCTCTTCCATGCATCGCTGTCCTATTGAAAGGACAGATGGGGTATCAGGAAGAACATATGGTTTGACCTCAATCCCAATGGAGTCAACAGAAACATCACACTGTTCTGAAGCGGAGTTTGGCCCATTTGCAGTCATCATTTGAATGGGCGCAGGTGACTCGTAGGCCTTAGCCTGCCCAAGCTCCCGCTGGGCGATGAGATCTTGCGCACTGCCAGTATCAGCAATCCATTCGATGCACAGACATGGCGATTTGCTGCTGGCGGGTGCGGCACAGTTGAACTTCAAACCAACCGGTATGCAATGCTTGCATCCAAACTCAGTGTTGCACTTGAACTTACACTGCGGTCTACAGCCCTTGACCTCATCACTGACAACAGCTTGCAACATCTTAGCGGTTACCTGAGCTTCCTTCACGGAATCAGGATCGGCTTTCCAATGGCTGTTGGCGGGATATACTTGGCTATACTCCCTTGGCTTATTGCGATCATCGAGGGGGTAGAGGCCATTCCCTTTCGGAATTTGGTACGTGAAACTTTCAGTAGTGTCGTTGAATGACACTGCGGCCAGTGCGACATGATAGTGCGGGGTGCAAACATCGACATTGCTCAACATATCCTTCCGGAACGTGAATGCATCGGCTTGGGCTGCTGAGCCAGCCAACATTGCTCCCAATAAGCAAACCGCAGCGGGAACGGAGGGCGCACCACCCTTGCGACCTGAGCCACGCGAACCCTTCGAGCCTTGGCTAGACTTACTTGATTTTCGGCTGCCGCTCTTTGAAGAGCTCTTGGAGCTAGATCTGGAGCCTTTGCGGCCCTTACCACTTTTCTTCTCTTTCTTCTTGTGCTTCTTTTCCTTCTTCTCGCCGCTGCTCGCTCGTGCACCTGAGCTGCCCGGGGCGGCTGCAGCAGGTTGGCCGTTGTGGAGGAAGTTACACTTGTCTCCACGATTGCAAACTCCTTGCTTAAAGAACTTGCATTCCTGCTTTTTGCCTTTACCTTTCCCTCCCGGGCTAGGGGTTCTAGTAGGCGTACGACCTCCGGCAGGAGTGTGAGAACGCCCCCTAGGTTGTTGGTGCTTGTACGGGCAATTGTCTCTCTTGCAACTTCCGGTCTTGACCCAATCAACGCAATACCCCTTGGGAATACGCTTAGGGGCCGGTGCGGCAGCAGGCGCAGTAGGTACACCTGTTTGCCGAGCAATGCGCTCGCGGTTCTTCTGCAATCGCTTGCGTTTCAAATGATTAGCAACCGCGTTATACAGGAACTGATAGGACCTTTGCTCGCTACCTTCCAGTGCGCGTTCATAGACCTGGATGTCGTGATCGATTTCCTTGCACTTCTTCACCTGTCTATGGAACAGGGGTTCAAGCACGCTGTTGTCTGGAGGATTGGGAATCCCTGATAGCACCGTATCCCAATTTCTAATGAAGGTGGTGAGGTTTTCGTTGACCATGATGCAATTCATCAGGTCCTCCATGTCATACACAGAGCCATGGAGTGCATTGGTAGCAAAGTGGTTGTGAAGACGACACAGCAACTGTCTTCCTCTCACCAGCCTTCCGGCGTGAGCTTCGGTCTCCTTGAAGGTATCAGTCTGCCTAGCGAAATCACCCTCAAGGATGTTGGTGAGCCCAGAAAGGATCTTGGCATCCAAGGTGCTAAACCCCTCCGGGTCGCGAAGCTCTTTCTCGTCGGCGTCCTTCTCCCAGACCTTACTGAGCCAGGCATGCGCCTTGTCAGGCGAATCCGATGCAGCGACAATGGCTTCACGGACCCTTATGCGCCAGTTTCTATACTGCTCAGGCTGGGGAAACTTGGGAAACACGACTTTCTCAGCCTCTTTAACCTTGGGTTTGGTACTCGAGGAACCCTTTTCTTCATCATCATCCTCTTTATCAGACTTCTTAGATTTCACCATCTTCTTGAGCATCTTCAGAAGAATCTTGTTGTCGATGGAAGAAGACGATGAATCCGACGACTCATCTTTCTTGTGCTTTTTGGATTTCTTGCTCTTTTTCTCCTTCTTACCGCTCTTTTCAGGCGCTTCAAGTGGTTCGCCAGGAGGAGTATTGATCGGAATGGGTCCTAGACCAGGAGGCCCGGCCTGTTCCGGTTCATTGCCCAATGGGTCAGCTTTGGCTTCCGCCAAGCGTGTTCTTAGCTCGGCATTGTCCTTTTGCAGCATCTCCATGTTGAGGGCTTGAATCCTCATCATCTCTTGCATCTCACCTTTGAGGCGAGAGAGCTCGTTGTCACGAGCTGACACGTCGGCTTGATTAGCCTGCAACCTTCGATTAGCCTCGGTTTCCACCTGGGCGACAACATTTGCAGCTGTCTGTTCAGCGGATAGGAGGCGCTGCCTTAGCTGCTCAGCTTCAGCAGCGGCTGCTTCAGCCTCAATTTGGTACTGGGCTACGGCCTGCCGACCAGCATGGATGTTTTGATTAGCCTGTTCTTCAAAGGCTCTGGCTTTTGACTGCAACTGTGCATGCTCAAGCCTCAGCTGAGCGACTTGACTCATGGCACCTGTTTCCAAAGCGAGAATTTGCTCCCTGTTTTCACTTTGGATATTGCGAACGGCTTCAGCGTGTCTTGCATTTGCTGTGTCCATAATCAATGCAGGATCCGCACTGATCAGAACGTTTTGCTGATGCTGATACAACTGATTCACGACAGTTGGAACGGAGGTGTGCGATGGAGGCACCGGAGAATAGCCTACGACTGTGGGTGAGGGCTGATGTGTCAGCGACGCTCGTGATGGCACGTATGCTGGTTGAGGTCCAAGAGACCCAACATGCGAACGTAGCGTCTGCTCAGTGAGAGCTACCCGACCCTCCCGGGCGGTGACAACCGGAAGCTCTGCGCCCAGATTCGATCTCGAGCGGGCGGACTCCGTATCGTCATCACCTAGTTCGGAGATAGGCACACCTGCAGGATTTGTGGGAGCTGTGGTGTCCATTGCACTACGAAGAGCTATACAAGCTACGGCTGATAACCTATTGTTAACAGCGGAAAGCACGGACTGTTTTCACACTTGAGCCAAACGGTAGCGTAGGTAAGACAGTAAGACAGTAAGACAAACGTATGAACAGGATAAAAACAATGAAAAGGGTTCCTGTAAGGGTTTAGGGTTTAGGCTAGTTATTATAAGGGCTCCTTTAAGGGTTTAGGGTTTAGGCTAGTTATGAAAAGGGTTCCTGTAAGGGTTTAGGGTTTAGGCTAGTTATTATAAGGGTTCCTTTAAGGGTTTAGGGTTTAGGCTAGTTATGGAAAGGGTTCCTGTAAGGGTTTAGGGTTTAGGCTAGCTATTATAAGGGTTCCTTCAAGGGTTTAGGGTTTAGGCTAGTCATTATAAGGGCTCCTTTAAGGGTTTAGGGTTTAGGCTAGTTATGAAAAGGGTTCCTGTAAGGGTTTAGGGTTTAGGCTAGTTATTATAAGGGTTCCTTTAAGGGTTTAGGGTTTAGGCTAGTTTTTACAAGGGCTCCATAGCTAGAAGAGTTGTATAAGGGATGTATAGATTCTTTCTCTATAATAGTTGTATAAGAGATGTATAAATTCTTCTTCCATAAGAGTTGTCTAAGGGATGTATGAATTCTTTTTCGATAAGAGTTGACTAAGGGATGTATACAGGTTGTATGAGCATCATGAAGGGCTTAGAGAGGGGGTTTGCTAAGGGGTAAAGATGTTGCGAAGCGTTACCAGGGCGTCGTAGGGGGTATAACGGGTTTGTAAAGCCTCTCGTCGGATAGGGCACCCAACGTAAGTTACCGTAACACGGATCTAGTTTAAGTATGTATGATTTCTATACTGCGGCATCCCATGTGAAGTTTGATAACGAGGTTCCAGCTCTTGCTGCATCAAATTTTGGGTAGGGCTATAGGCATGGTTTAGAGCGCAAAGGCTTTCAGTGTAGTGGTCTTGTGGGGCTTAGGACTTGGTGGCAATTTGAGATTTTAGCAGATGGCATAGTGCTGTTGAGGGTAAGAAGGTTAGATTCGCAAGAGCTTGCTAACTACCAAATACTACTCTATTTGGAAACCTTTGGGCTTATGAAGTTGAAGGCTTGACTGGCTGGTGGCATGCTTGCGCTTGTTTGTTGGAAAGACTGCCCCGTCAGACTCATCGTACATGCTCCCCGCTTGATCTCATCACTCTGACCAGCTTCCTGCGAGCAGCCTCTCATCATTATGATGGTCCTTCTAGTCCTGCTTCGTCGTCCTGTTCCCATACCGATCCTGATGGCGTTCTTCTATTCTAGTTGGTCTCATCCATTTCTTCTGGCTACATCCTTATTATAGGGACCCCCAAAAAAAGGTACCCCCCGATTTTCGGAAACTCCCACATGAATATTATGCGGATGTATGGTGTTGGAGTTCCTCTTGTTCAGGACTGCTCGGGTTTTCAGCCACCGAGAAGCAGCCACAGGGCCGGTTGTCCGCTTGTGATCAGCTGGATAAAGCTTTGCGTTGTGGGCTTAGGGTTTTGGGGTTTAGGATTTTGGGGTTTAAGGCTCAGGGTTTAGGGCTTTGGGTTATATAAGGGTTGTGGGTTCAGGGTTTTGGGTTTAGGGTTTTGGGGTTCAGCCTGTAGACACGCCAACTTCTCCATACGTGAACAATCCTTCCAGAGGGCCCTTTACCCCATTTGGGGTTTCTGACTAGGGTTTAGAATTTAGGGTTTATGTTTAGGGCTTAGGGTTTACGACTTACGGTGTCCGAAGCATGTTGAACACTGCCAGGCCCCATCACTCCATGAGGACTATCATCAGCAAGCTTAGGGTTTAGGGTTTAAGGTTTAGGGTTTAGGGTTTAGGGTCCAAAAAGGACGCCTGTTCGTCAGTGGACTACGCTCCTAACCCTCAAGCCCTAAGCTCGAAAGAAAGCATACCGAAGATCTGGAATCCGAAAGCCGGATCCTAAACCCGAAGCGCTGGGAATCCTGGCATTTCAGCGTCCGCAAGACCACGGCACAGTCCTGGAGAAGGAATGTAAAGGCTTGAGCCGGTATCCAAAACCCTCAATATAGCGAGGCCTTAGGATTCAGACTTACACTAGGGTCCCCTAAGTAACGGCTACATCAGTTGGCTCTAGGAAAGACTATGACTAGTTGAGACCCCTGTAGTATCGACAGTAAGCCCCCGAAGCTCCGCCAGACTCTCACGCTGATTGGGGTTTACGGCTTGGGATTCAGAGGTTTCGGGCTCCGTCGCACCGTTCTCTCTCTCTCTCTCTCTCTCTCTCTCTCTCTGTCTCTCTCTCTCTCTCTCTCTCTCTCTATTTTTTTCTCTCTCTCTCTCTCTCTCTCTCTCTCTATCTCTCTCTCTCTCTCTCTCTCTCTCCCTCTCTTGGCTTTGAGTCGCGAGGCTTTGGGAAGCCTGTTACAGGGCCTGGGGTTATGAAAGTACAGTTGCACGCACGAACCCCTAAAAAATAGTTGTATGAGTTCTTCAGGCCCCAAACGCATCGGTGCCAGATTGTCTGGAAAGGCCTAAGTCTGCCTGTGACCCCGTTGAAGACTGGTACTGAAAAGCATTCGACGTCAACTTCGCATTTCTGGCGGGAATACTAAGAAAGGAGTTCGGACAAATGGCAGGTTAGTTGAGGGATTATGGGTAGATATTCTGTAACTATCCACGATCCTCAAAGCAGCCACAGCCTCGTGCAAGCCTGCCAAACAATCATTCCCTGCACACTCCACCCGAAGGCATTCTCCCAAACGCTGGACCCACCTAGCCCCTTCAACCCCCTAAACTCCCTGAACCCCAAGGGTTCAGGCCTTACCTGTGGCTCAAAAACCCTACCCTTTTCGCGTTTCTGTCTATCTATCTATCTTTCTACATACACACATACATCAAAAACCCTACCCTTTTCGCGTTTCTGTCTATCTATCTATCTATCTATCTACATACATACATACATACTTCCTTAAGAAGGTAGGTTTTTGGGGCCACAGGTAGGGGTTAAGGGCTTAAGGTTTAGGATTCCTCCCATAGAGGTCCTGTAGTTTACTGTTCGGGTTGGTTCGGTTTTGGGGATCGGGGTTGGCGGGTTGGGGATTCTTAGACTTGGGGCTTTGGAAATTTGGCTTCAGGGTGTGATGCGCTTGTTGGTTTTTTTAGCAGACTTTGCCTGGTTAGGTGCAATGGAAAGTCCCGGGTAAGGCCTAAACCCTCACGGAAAGCCCCAAACCTGAACCCCTAAACCCCTAAACCCCTATATAAACCCTAAGCCCAAAACCCTAAAACCTCAAACCTTAACCCCTAAAGCCTAAACCCTTATAGATCCTTTATCGGATCCCTTTAAAGGGACCCTGAAACCCTGAATCCTCATCAAAAGAGCCCGGAACTCATGCGCAGGAGGATGACCTCGGCTTCGAGCACCAAGGGCTCCCAAGAGGCTGGCAGCACCTTCCCAGAGCCACGGGTTTAGGGTTTAGGGGTTTGGGGTTTAGGGTTTAAGAGTTGAAGGTTTAGGGTTCAAGGGTTCAAGGGTTTAAGAGTTGAAGGTTTAGGGTTTGAGTGTTTAAGGGTTTAAGAGTTGAAGGTTTAGGGTTTACGGGTTTAGGGTTCAAGGTTTAGGGTTTAGGGTTTAAGTTTTAGGGTTTAGCGTTTCCAATACTGGGTTCTTGTTAAGGGATTTGACTTAATTTAACGTGCCATAATAAGGGAACCATAATCTTTACTCTAGATCTCTATTATGGTAACTTAAGTTAAACTCCTTGACAAGAGCCCAGAACATTCTTTAATTAAGGAGTATACCTAAGGCTTCCTTCAAGGGATCTGTAAGGGTTCTATAGGGGAAAATGCAGCCGCTCCCGCTGCAGGGAAGCTGAGGATTTAGGGTTTAGGGTTTGGGGTCATATAGGGGCTTTATACTTGTTTTACAAGGGACTTGTGAATTTTCGACCGCCTACACTAGCTGCAGAATTTGGGGATGGCGCCCGTGCAAGTCCGGGGTCCTGGATTCTAAGAGTTTGTGCTTCCAGGGCTGAACAGATTGTGCAAAATAGAGGTGCCTTAGCAACGGGAACATGAAATCATGAGTGGTTGTCAAAATTATGGTCCCTTTTTGCATACCTGTTATAATACGGCACCTATTATCTAGGGTACCCACAGGGACCCGAGTTTTGACAACCACCCATGTGAATAAACAAGGAACCCCGAAGGAATACTACGGAAGTGTAGCAGCTTGGAGGCCTAGAAACCTGGGAAGACCGCCAAGCCCTCTGAAGCCTTAAAAACCCTCCTATCCAACCCTCACATAAACCCTGGTAACGCCCCAAAGAAAGAAAACCTGGTACTGGTACCCTGGTGAACCGATTCCTAGACCCTCAACCCTACACCCTATTCCCCTCTTGGCCCCCTGGCCAAGAAATCGGCGGCACTGCGGGTGGTGCCGCGCAGGCGGCGCTTTTCCGAGAAACTGAGGCAGGAGGCCACCTGTGGGGAGGCGGGCGGATCCTTAATGTAGCGGCCTTAACAATTAGAATAGGCTTTGGGTGTACATTTTACCATAATTATAGCAAGGCACCCCCAAAACCCTGTTCTAATTGCTAAGGCTCGTACCATAGGTTTATAGGGAAGGAGGGGGTTCTTGGCGGGGTTTGGGTGTCGCGGTTTCCTTCATGTGAGTTGCACGGTGGTTTGATGGAATGGGATCTCACCAGGGATCGTAACCTTGGTTTTGGGTCTGGGGGTTTGGGGTTAGGGTTTAAGGGTTTAGGGTTTAGGGGTTTAAGGATTTAGGGGTTTAGGAGTTTAGGGTTTAGGGAGCTGAAAAATAGAGCGTACTCGAAGCCTTGGACTCCGGGACCTGCCCTCCATGCAGAAATTCCTTCAATGAACCGTCAGACCTACGCCTTCAACTGAAGACCGATGGCGAAACCGAAGGAAACCGAAACCTAAACCCTCAACCCTAAAGCCGGCCCTTAGACCCCTAAACCCCAAAACACCTAAACGAGGGTTTCCGATCAAGGGACCCTAATCTAGTGCCCTTTTCTAGTAGGATCCTCATAATAAGGACCCCAAAATAAGGCACCCCTAAGTTTCGTAAACTCCCAAATCCCTAAGTCTCTGAACCCCAGAATTTCCGGGGGCTTGCGGCTTTGGCCCGGCGCCTGCGCTACGACAACGCTGGGCAAGGGCTGCAGCACGCCTCGCATCCAGGTGACCCTCGTCGTTGCTAAGATTCTTCTTGTCATGCAAGTCTGCCAGTACAGAAATAGCTCTCAGCGTCAGCTTCTGCAATCATGAAGCAGACAGGACCACGACTCTGCATCAAGCTTTGACAGACGCGCTGCAGGAAATGAGCTGGACTGCTCCGCCCAAATCACTGCCGAGCTCCGCCCCAAATCACTGCCAAGCTTTTAAACTTCAGTCGCAGAGCAGTAGCAGCTTTGCACAGAGGTTGTGGGGGTCAAGGTCCAGGGTTTGGGGTCCTTTGCTAAGCAAAATCAGCCGAATGCTCTCCCTCGAGAGCATTGCAAAAAGCCTCCTGTACAGAGGAGCTCCAAAGGGAACTCAAGGAAAGCTACTCACGAATTCAAATGTCAACAGTCGAAGGCGTCGTGGGCAGAAGAGCCAGCCGTCGAACACGCCAAAATCTTCATCTAATTGGGCCGCCAAACCCTTTACCCTTCCAGCCTAAACCCCTAACCTCCACCATTACGTATTCTAGGACCTTCATCTCCAAAACCGCACAGAAGCCCTAACCTCCACCATTACGTATTCTAATTAGGACCTTCAACTCCAAAACCGCACAGAAACGAGAACCCTGAACCCAAAACCTGGTCTTGGGAAGCCCTTTAGGCGGTCTCCTCTGCAGAACTCCTAGGCGCGGCAGCGCGCCACTTCTGGTAGTCCCGCTGCCATTTCAGGTAATCCTCGTAAACGCCCTTCTCCTTCCTTAGGACTTTTTTGTCTATCAGAGGGGGCTCTAATTTCAGGGTTAAGGTTAGGGTTTAGGGTTAGGAGGAGCAACATGGGCCTGAGTTCACGACTGACGAGTGCAGGAGGTTGGGAGTTTAGACTGCGGGTTTGGCTCTTGCTGTTTGGGATTTCCGACTTGTATCGTTGATGCAGGTGTGGCAGATTGAATAAGCTTCACCTAAGCTTCACGAAAGCTTGCAAACAGCCTGCTATTCGGTACTCTCGCATTCGTAGCAGCATTCAAAGCAGCATTCGTCATAAGAAGTACAGCTATAAAGACTAACAGCAATGGCACTGCTAAGGGCAAAAGCATTGTGGTCCAGGCAGTAGAAACGAGCTAGCATCCTAACCAGAGTCACACAAAACGCTGCTGATTAACTGCCCTTGTCTGCTTCAGGGAATCTTACTACGGCTCTTTCTTATTATCACTATTGCTTTATCAGCCCTAAACCCTAAACCCTAAACCCTCAGCTAGCGCTTCAGAACCGCGAGCTTCGTCCGCCCCCAAACATCACCTTCCCTCGGGCCGAGGGTTCGGCCCAGGCCCCCTCAACCCGAAACCTCTCGACCCTTAGCCTTAACCGCCTTTAAGCCTTAACCCGAAACCCTCAACTCCTAAACCCCAAGCCCTCAACCCTAAACGCTTCGACCCTAAGCCCGAAGCCCTCGGAAGCCCCCAAAACCCTTAACCCAAAAAGGAACCCTTATAGGAACCCTAAAGATCCCTTTCAAGGAACCCGAAGCCCTAAACCCTATACCCGAAACCCTTAGCCGGAGCGCAAGATGGGCACCAGGTCCGGCAGCGTCACGCTGCGCTGAGCGAGGGTCGCCCGGCTCCTTCCTTGCTTTCCAGCTTTTAGGGTTTAGGGTTTAGGGGTTTAGGGTTTAGGGGTTTAGGGTTTAGGGGTTTAGGGTTTAGGGGTTTAGGGTTTAGGGGTTTAGGGTTTAGGGTTCTATTGTTTTTGTCAGAAAGGTTCTTGGAAAGGTATAGAGTTTCTACACGTATTTTGGGCTTCAGGTCTCAGCAGAACTCGGGGCATGAAGGTGTCTTACTTCAGGCTACATATCATATCACACAGCGGTCCCATGTCCTACTACCCAGGGAAGTCTTAGGGCCTAAGCTTCCGAATGCTGTTCAGGGGGTTTAGGGTTTAGGGTTCAGGGTGTGAGGCTTTCGGCTTTAAGACTTCCGGGTTGAGGGTGTGGGGCTGTGGACTTTAGCACCCCTCAGGAGAACATGCAGCCCGTGACCTTGCTCCCAAAAACCCGGAATGCTGGACATAAGCATGCCCGACACCCCAAACCGTAAACCTTAACCCGAAAAAATCCTGGCAATCCAAACTCTGAACCCTACAACGTCAGTTCCAAGCATCCAGCTGCAGTAGAGCTGTCGGCCTCCGTTGATGCCGTGGTCGCTTCCGTGGCGGTGTCCTGGCTGGCCCTTTGGTTTAGGGCCTCGGGTGTTGAGGGAACCCAAGGACTCATGTCCTCCAGAGCCGCAAGCTTGAGACCCAAGGTCCAGGTCCCCGATTAACCACAAGCCTTAATGCATGACGCGTTCGTGGCTAGCCGTGTTGACACCAAAACCGAGACCCTCTACACCTAAAGCTTGAAACCCTAAACCCTGAAGTTCAATCCTGAAGTTCAAAACCCTGGCGCTGACCCGGTCCTCCATGGCCTCACACTTATCTGACGAGGTCCCGGCAGCGACTGTCGTAAGACCACCCTCCGAATGCTCCTGCGTGACAACGGTTCAAAGGGTTTTGGAGTCTACTACAGCATGGCAAAGCTCCGAATATATGACTTGCCTTAGATAAATACTTGTAAATCCCTACTCTGAAACAAACCCTCGAACACCCTTTTTCATGTGTATGTATGTGTAAGTATGTGTTATGTGTGTGTGTCTAGCGAGAAGTGAATACCAAAAACTATCAGAATGACAGAAATATGAAGCAAAAAAGGTAAGAAAACTAACACGACCACGAACAATGCAGATAAGGGTTTTTTTGAAACCCTCCCAAAAAAATGCCATCTTAATTTCTTCTAAAAAAAAGAAAAAGACTCCTGCGCGAAGCTCTCCTTCCTGGCGGCCCTGTTGTGCGCCGGGCCGGAGATTTCCGCATCCCCGGGCCACCTTCTTCTTGGGGGGGTCCAAGGTTTAGGGTTCCCTTTAAAGGGGTCTATAAGGGTTCGTCTAAAGGAGTCTATAGGATGTAGGGTTTAGGGGTTTAGGGTTTCGGATATGAGGATTGAAGGTTCAGGTTTAGAGGTTTAGGGGCTTAAGGGTTTAGAGTTCGGGGCTTAAGGGTTTGGGGCTTTGGGTCTTAAGGGTTTAGGGGTTTAGGGGTTTAGGGATTCAGAGTTTGGGACACGCTTGGGGCTTGAGGGCGTGAGTTTGAGGTCTCGTCGCGAAAGGAAGGGCCTTGCGGCTTCAGGCTGTATGTAGGGGCTGAAGAGCCAGGTGAGTGTTGATATGCTTGAAGCCTCGTCGGTTTTTAAGTACTCTCCTAACTCGCTATACATCCAAGAACTTTTCTGGTTTGGTTTGGGGTCAGGTACCCTGTAGTCCAGGTTGGCTAACCCGGGCGATGCCTCAGCTTGATCAGGATTTGCGCGACCGTGCAGAAGACTCCGGGAATATTCGGCACCATCACAGCTGCGTTCCCCAGGATCATGCCATAGCCCAGCCAGACCAAGTTGTGCACACACTGTGCCAGGGCATAGGGAACAAAGACCGAGGAGCCATCCCGCTTCTGAATCAGTACCCAAAGACGCCCGATCGGCGCTGAATAGCAGATGAGGCTGATGGCCATGGTCAGCAAGGAAAAGCCATACAGGCGCTGCTCCACGGAGACGACATCGAGGAATTCAAGGCCCTCCTGACCTTTCACTTGTGTCAGAAAGGATAAGACGAACATAAGGCCCATACCCAGGGACACCTGCTGCTCGGTTCGCCGGATGGCCTTCTTTCGGTAGGCCTTCGAGAGTTCGTGAAGCTGCAGTGCATCCTTCCGCATCAGCAAGCCCGCGTCGCCCAGGTCGTCTAACACTGGCGGTGCCTGAATAAACAGAATAGGGCTTGGGGATGTAATATATTGCACTCCAAGGAATACTAATACAAAAATATTCGGGCTTCTATTATTCACACTGGCGGTGCTAGCTCACCCTCCTCGCGTGATAGCAGGCCAATGGCAGCAAGGCAGAAATACATCCACATCACCACGCTAATGACATTCGCCAGCAGCACATACATGTCCCCCAGCATGACGGCATACAATGTGCCGGTGATGGACTTGATGAAGTAGAGCGGCCAAGAGCGAGTGTCCATGCCGGCAAGGGAGCCACTCTCCCGTGCTCTTAGAAGAGCTCGGAAGGGTGCGAAGGCCGTTCCGCTGCAGGTGATCACGCCGACGAGGCCGAAGCCATGGCGCATCAAAAAGTCCTGCTGGGACATCTCCGGAAGCTCGCAAGGGACGAAGATCAGTATGGCAGCGCTGGCAAAAAGAGCAACGAAGGCCGCGGTGTGCACGCAAATCCGCCGAATCTTCTGGATCTTCATCTTTCAGATTTGACGTCTAAAACTCCCAAAACCCTCGCCTTCCGAAAAAGGATCAGTTGCAGACCCTTTGCTGAAGTTCGCATCGCTTCCGCTGCGATGGCCTAGACCTCCGACAGCTGAGGACTGCGACGGTCCATCATCAAGGTCTGGGTTCACGGTTCAGGGTTGAGGGGCTGAGTGTTTAGAGTTTTGGGGTATATACTACTACCAAGATAAAAGTTTGGACGAAGTTATCATCCTCATTGCTGAGATTCTTCTCGTCAAGCAAGTCTGCCAGAACAGCAATAACTGTCAGTATCAGCTTCTAAAAATTTTAAAACCATGAACCAGACAGGACCACGACTCTGCATCAAGCTTCGACAGACAAGCTTCAAGAAATGGACTCGACCACCGCTCGCCCCAAATCAATGCCGAGCTTTTTCAACTGCAGTCGCAGAGCCGCAGCAGCTTTGCAGGGAGGTTGCGGGGTTCGGGGTGGGTGCTTTGCGAAGGCAAAATCAGCCGAGTGCTCTCCCTCGAGAGAACTGGAAAAAGCCTCCTGTACAGGAGAGCTCCAGAGAGGAGCTCTAAGCCAAAGGACTGCACAAGGAAAGCTGGTCGCTAACTCAGATTTCAATAGTCGAAGGCTCCGTGGGCAGCAAAGCCACCCGTCGAAGACGAAAGCCAAAAACTTCAGATAATTCGGCCCAAAACCCCCGACCCTTCCAGTCTGAGCCCCTAACCTCCGACAGTAGCCTGTTAGCCACTTATTATTCTACCTTCCTGCAACCCCAAAACCGCACAGAAACGACAACCCTGAACCCGAAACCGAGTCTTGGGAGGCCCTTTAGGCAGTCTCCTCTGCGGAACTCCTAGGCGCAGCAGCGCGCCACTTCTGGTAGTCCCGCTGCCATTTCAGGTAATCCTCGTAGACGCCCTTCTCCTTCCTCAGGACTCTTTTTGTCCATCAGAGGGAACCCTAAACCCCTAAACCCTAAACCCCTAAACCCTAAACCCCTCAACCCTAAACCCTAAACCCTTAATCTCAATTTTCATGGCACAAGGGTCCATGGCAGAATCGAACTGGAGCCGAGTTCACGGCTTACGAGTGTAGTGGGTTGGGAGTTTGGGCTGCGAGGTGTGGGGGTCGCTCCGCGGGGGTTTCGAGTGGTAATAGTAATAGTCCTAGTAATGGTAATAGTAATAGTGATAGTGATAGTGAGTAATAGCAATAGTCATAGCAATAATAATAGTAGTAATGCTAGTACTAGTGCTAGTAATAGTAATAGCAATAGCAATAGCACTAGTAACAGTAATGAGTAGTATCTCAGATGCTCTGGCAGATTGGATGAGCTGCGCCTAAGCTTCACCACAGCATCGAGGCAGCCGCATAGTCGGTACTCTCCGATTTGTAGTATCACTCGTGACAGTAGTCGTGATAAGAGCAACAGACTAACGATAACCGCGTTGGTAACGCCAACAACGATAATGCTAGTACCGGTACTTAGAGGCCCAGGGAACTTAGTAAGTAGGTTATAAGTACCCCAATCATAACCCTACTCATAACCTACTTACTAAGTGCCCTGTGCCTCCTAGCAGAAACCAGAGCTCTGACCATGCTCACAAGCATGCCGCTGCTTGGAAGGATTTGGTTTTTGTTTAGGGTTTTAAGAGTCTTCCCGGAACCCCGCCGGACCGGAAGCCCTCATCCCTAAACCCAAAACCCTAAACCCCAGGAGCTCAAAAGATCCCTTTGTAGTAAACCCTATGGCGAATGCCCTCAACCCTAAACCCGAAACCCTAAACCCAAAAAGGAACCCTTATCGGAACCCTATAGATCCCTTTCAGGGAACCCGAAACCCGAAACCCTAAACCCCTAAACCCCTAAGCTCTATTTTCATGGAGATCCCTTTGCAGGAAACCCTATACCCCCAGCCCTCATCCCTATACCCTAAACCCGAAGCCCCGAAGCCCTTAGCCGGAGCTCAAGATGGGTGCAAGGTCCGGCAGCGTCACGCTGCGCTGGGCGAGCGTCGCCGGGCTCTTTCCTTGCTTTTCGAACGGTTCGGCTATGTTCGGCTTCCCAGAGACTCCACTATCCCTTAATTAAGGAATATACCTTGAATTATAATAGGATCCCGAATATGATTTAAGGAATATTCCTAAATTAAGGGATATTGGAGTCTCTGGGTTTATGTTCATGTTAGAAGGCTTCTGAAAGGGCTTCATACATAGAATTTGTGCAGGACTTTGGGCTTAAAGATTGTAGGCTCCATTCTCATTTTAGACGGGTTCTGAAAGGCCCTAGCTTATCGCTTTTTTTGTTTCTGAAGAATTTTATTCAGGATTTGGGGTTGAAGCGTTTCGCGGATTGAGGGGCATGAAGGTTTCACAATTAGAAGGAGGAGCAACTTGCGCAACGGTCCTCACACAACGTCCCTATGTGTCCTACTACTAGGCTCTGGGGCTTTGGGATTTTTGGGATTTCGGCTCGCAGAGACTCCAATATCCCTTAATTAAGGAATGTACCTTAAATCTTATTTAAGGATCCTACTATGACTTAAGGGATATTGAAGTCTCCGGGCTTGGCGACTTTAGGGTTGAGGGCGTCGGGCTCTGGGCATTCGCACCCTACACGAGTACAGGAAGCACGTACGTGTGCCCTACGAATCCTCGAGCCTTCAAGAAAAAAGTTGAACCAAAAATCCCGACATGGCTTAGACTCTAAACCTTAACCCTAAAACCTTCCAAACTCTAGACCCTGAGGAATTCATTCCCAGTCTCCAGCTGAACTTGGGGTGTCGGCCTCCGTTGCCTCCGTGGTCGCTTCCGTGGCTGCGTCCTGGCTGGAGGTTTCGGAGAAAAGGGATTGGGCTTATGGAGTAGGACTTCGGGATCTGATCAGCGATCAAGGTTCATTATTTTTTGAAGGGCTCTGTTCCTGTTCCGTCCGCACACAAGATCCGCGACAGTCAGAAGCCTCCCGAGAGAGCGAGCACAGGTGGCTTGCTTAAGCTTCCAAGAGAAGAGAAGGGGTCACTGGGATCAGGGTTGACGAAATAGGTGGTAAGTTAGAGGCTGCCCCCACCCTGTAATAGTGACTATAAGGATTATATTAGGGCCCTATTAAATATTCCTATTATACCACTACTACAGGGTGGGGGCCCCTCCTAAGTGGTAAGGTTTAGGGTGGATGGACTCAGGATCCAGCCCTGCCCCGGTCCTGCATGGCCTCGCACTTGTCTGACGAGGTCCCAGCAGCGACGGTGGTGAGACCCCCTTCTGAATGGTCCTGCGCGACAAGGGTTTCTTGGAGCCTGCCACAGGGCACGCATAGTGTTGTCTAGGTGTTTGTTTGGTAAAGTTTTGCCTTGTGACAATACTAGCAACAATAGTAGGAATAATCGTATTAATAATGAAAATAATGGTAATGATGGAAGATAGGATTCGCTGTGTTCTACCAATACTGTACAGGAAATACGACTCCTAGTTCTGCAGACCTTGCTTAGGCACTCAGGTGGTCTCTCCGGGACCAATGGCTAAAAGCTTCAACCCTGAACCCTAAACCCCCCTAAACCCCTAAACCCCCAAACCAAAACCCAAAAAACCCAAAAAACCCAAAAAACCCTAAACCCCTAACCCCTAAACCCTAAACCCTAAACCCTTTCAGAGGGGCTCCCGAGGATCCTCGGGTCTTTCACCATGAAAAAAAAAGCTGCACTAAAGTCGACGCCTCCAACTGAGCCTGGTATATGGGTGATTGTCAAAATTATGGCCCCTTTTTGGGTATCCCAAATATTAGGTGCCGTGCTATAATAAGGGCCCTTCTTCTTAATACCTGCTTGAAATATGACGATTATCAGTACTATGAACATTATATACGAGTATCATTACTCAACTCTTCTTCTCAATACCTGCTTTTACGATTACGATTATATCAGAAATAACATCATTATGCACGAGTATCATTGCTATTACTGCTACTGTTATTATTGCTGCTATGTTTAATGGTATCATTACAAGTATCACTACTACTATCATTACTATTATCTTCGCTATTATAATTATTGTTACTATTATGGACCCTAAATTCTAGATTATAGGTTTCTTTTGGGGTCCATTTTCGGGCCCGAGCCTGAGCCTATGCTGCGTCTAGAGCTTGAGGAGTGTCACGAGAACCCTAAGTGCCACTATGGGCTATTAGACCTTATGGGTACCTTAATCTACCCTTAATAGGGTCCTAATAAGGATCTTTAGGGTCTAATAGCCCATAGTGGTGGGCGGTTGTCCAAATTGCGGGCTCTTTTGGGTTCCCAAACTAGAGGGTTCAGGATTTAGGATTTAAGGGGTCCAAACTAGGGTCTCTTTTGGGTTCTTAAACTAGAGGGTTTAGGGTTTCGGGGAGTTTTTTATAGGGTTCGCCACATTTACAGGACCATAATTTGACACCTACCCTCATGAAGATCACCTTTTGCAAAGCGCTGGAAATGAAGTGCTTCGCAAGAGACCTTGCAAAGTACTTCCGACAACTTTAACACATGTTCCTATAGTTTCGTATACGTTGATGGCACACTTTATCGAAGAACCTCGCAACAACAGCTGAATTCCAAGATGAGAAAAAATACCTAACTAGTGGATAAACAAAACTAAAAGCACAATGAGGATGACAACAACAAGAATTCATAACGAGTCCAAAAATGATTTGAACAACTACTAAAGCTGAATCATCGTAACCTATAACCCAGGAGCCATAGTCGTAACAAAGATAGCAAGCATAATACTAATAATAACGATAAGTACGAAGAACAGTAGCAGTAGTAGTAGTAGTAGTAGTAGCAGTAGTACTAGTAGTAGTAGTAGTAGTAGTAGTAGTAGTAGTAGTAGTAGTAGTAGTAGTAGTAGTAGTAGTAGTAGTATTCATTCACCACGCAGCGAAGATTCGAAGTTCGCCTAGCGAGCAGACAGCAACCGGGTGTTCCGGTGGCTGGAACCTCTTTTGGGTTCTGGAGGGCAGTGCCAGCTCCATCGACTAAGACTACACTTGCTCAGCATCAGGTACCAGGAGGTAGTACCTGACGTAGCCACACTATATATATGTTGTCATCGTGTTCTGTACTGACTGGCTTTGCGGTGCAGGAGTCATCAGTGATCCACCACTTTTCTGCTCCAAACAGCGGTTGTCCTCGTAAGATAGTTCTGTAATGCCCCATATCAGGAGTGGCCCCGTAGTGAAGCTGTACAGCGACGACCTGGTAGTGGACATAACGAACTTGCATTGTGTGCAGACCTGTAAAGAGTGGCATACGAACAGTAGTCGAGGCCACAACCAGTGGTCTGGTGTCCCTGCGCATGACTCCCTCGGCGTTTGTGAAGCGCTGAAGTTGTATGCAGAGCATGGGAGACGGAGTCAGCAGTGCATAACGAGCTGTGACCTGAGCACTCCACCCATCAATGGCTGCCTGGAGCTCCAGGCTTGGACCTGCCGGTAGCACAATCGGGATAGGAGCTTGGGTAGGCCCCTTGTCAAGAGTGGCAATACCTCCAGGTACGAAGTTTCTGGCCTCCCAGCCACCATTGAACCCACTATGCGAGAACCTGGGTAAGAGGTATTGTAACAGCTCAGCTGCATCATGCTGACGATGTACAGAAGGCCAAGCTTGCAGCAGCATAAGCCACGGTACCGAGTGGAGCACCTGAATGGGGCAATTAGGTGTGGCAGTGTTTGGTGGACACAGCATGGTAAGAGCCTGCGGTGGAGGCGAGACGTAGGCATCATGCAGCCTAGCCTGAAGGATTGTCCACAGAAGGGCGTAGATAGTAGAGTGTAGGTAGCACAGATTTGATGGATTGTGGAAAATCAATCGAAGGACAGCCTTGAGACTAGGGCGCGCACTCAGTATGGCATCTGATGTTGCCACACTTCCTGGACCAGGGTGTCGTAGTTCGGTCGATCGCGACGGAGCCGGCATCCCAGGGTGTGCCACGATGCTTGTCCGATCCACTGGTTCAGCGTGCTCCACATGGCTCCTCCCTCCGGGCGAAGTGACATGCAGATCTGGAATTGAATCCAGTCGGAGGTCACCTCCGTGGTGAGCTTCCGCATGGACTTGAACCTCACCAGGGTCTCTTCCGTAACTGCCTTCCTCATCTGAACCAGTTGAGCCAACAGATCTTCCGCCGGTATTGGCCTCACCGAGTTGTCGACTTCCAGACATTGTTTGGTGGGATTCCATGTAAGATGTTTCCAATGTTTCTGATCGTCGATCCAGTTCAGGTTCTTGGCTTTGGCGAGAGCATCCTCGTCCGCGATCATGTTGGTCAACCTCTGGTGGAGGGTGATGAGCAGCTGCTTGAAGAGCATGAGTTTGAGGGAGTAAGTGATCTTCTCGGGTTCTTCCTCTTTCATCTTCCTCCACTTCTCCGCTGCTTCGCAGAGAACTGGTACCATCCCTTCTGGTCCGGATCGTACACAGAGGTAGAGGACCAGATCCTGACGGATGGCTGAGATGATTTGCTCCTGGCGAAGGACCAGCTGAGATAGTCGATTCATCCTGTACTCCATCCAGTCTGGATCTTGATTTCCCAGTGGCTGCAGGTCCTGAGTCTGTGTCCAGGGATTGGGTGGATGGCTTCCGAAACCATTTGTGTAGCCCGTGATCGGGTTGGCACTGGATGGACTTGGTAGGCCCTGCTTTCCCTTGCCTTTGCCCTTGGTACCCTTGCCCTTGCCTTTGTTCCGGTCCTGTGGTGCCAGACCCTGCCTCTTGGAGTGCTCCGTTTGATGCAGCACATCTCTTCTCGGTTCCTGTTCCCGTTTGACCGGACCGGCCTGGGCCCAAAATTGCCTCTCCTGTTCGTCCAGCTCCATGGGATCCGCGCCGAGCGTCATGGTGCGCTGCTAGAAATGCACAGATATGCAAGACATGACACTGTTTCCAATGACGATCTTTGTTGATGTTTCGCTGATGACAGTAGCGACATGGAACAACGGTATGTCGGCGGAAACCAGTAAGAAGCTTGAGAGTCGCAGGTTGGCAGTCTTTCCACTCTGGATGTTGCATGGTGAGATGATACTTGATGCTGGTAGGAGTGGCTAGCCACTGGTAACACAGCGGGCAGTGGTGCTGGAGATACGAGTAGATCTCCGGTTTCTCAAGGAGGTCAGTCCACCTGCGTGCACGTAGTGTCTCAAGAACATGAGATTGTTGATGAAGAGGTACAGCCTCATGGCTCGGCGTATTGGAGCTGTCCTGCAGGGAAGCGTCTAAGACAGGGGGTTCAGGTAGAACGGCAGGAGCAGGAGGGGGCAGAGCAGCCTGATCGTCTGACAGGATGTAGGCCCCCTGAGAGAGGTCCTGAGGAGGCAGGGTGGCCGGGGCAGGGACTGGTAGAGGCTCGGATTCATTGGAGCTCGGAGCCAAGGGTGGGGCATCGGCGGGAGGTTGTGTAGCAAGCTTGCGGAGTACCTGACACCGATTGCGTTTAATGTGCTTGACAAGGCCGTCCCATTGTCGGAAGGGATGGGCACAGTGTCGGCACGTTGGAAGTCCTTCTGTTCCATGTGCATACCTGTCAAAAGGCACCGGGACAGCAGCAGGGGTTTTAAGTCCATGCCACTTAGCCTCGTGAGAGCGGAGGAGCCGAAAGGAGGTGAAGACCCGATGGCACTCCTGACACTGGTGTACGGCAGGGTCAGTGATGCCCTCCGTGTCCCCAAGAGGTACCTGCCATTGACGTTGCACTTGAAGATGGAGTGTGGCGGCAGTGTCTCGAGCTGATTCCACCTGGGCTTGGGTCACGAAGCTCGTGTCAGTGCTCAGGCTGGTCAGGCTGCGATGCAAGGCAGCGGCTTCCCTCTGCAGATGCTCCAAGATGGTGGACAGGGAGCATCTGTGCAAAAGAGCCTGTGTGGATTCTTTCTGAAGATGTGCAAAGGATCGGGTGATGGCTCGAACCTGCTTGGTCATCATGTGCTGCATACGCTGGATGTCCTTGGCACCTGGGTTGGATGCCGCGATCCCATAGAGCAGCGCGGGAAGCACTGTGGATTTCCACAGACTGAGACGATGTGTCTGAGCAAGATGCCTGGTGGAGCACAGTACACCACGGAGTCTTTGCCAGGCCTGGTTCGCAGCCTGTAGCCGATAGGTGACTGCTTGTTTGGCTTGTGAATGATATGAGATGCGTATGCCCAAGTACGTGTGATGGTCACGCAACGGAATTTCATACACCGTTCCCAGGGGGCTGCGAAAGCGGAGTAGATCCCCCTCGGGTTTAGGTATGAGGTGTCGGCGCAGCCAGCCTCGGATGAAACTGCCCTTGTGTCTCAGTAGCAATGCCGATTTGGCCGAGTTGATGACCATACCATGGGCGGCAAGAGCATCGAGGATCTTACTAAAGCGATACACCATGTCGTCCAGCTCACGAGTAGTCTGCACAGTATCCTTGAGGTGTATGTCATCTGCATAAATCGTGGAGCTTTGCTCTAGCCAAGGTGCTGTGATGAGCGAGTCCCCCTCGGCAAGAAGCTCACGATATATCTGTGCCAGGGCTAGGGTCCAGAGCAACGGAGCCAGTTTACACCCTTGTCTAAGTCCTCTTTGGGCCTCTACCTTGGCAGTGTGTCCAAGGTGGGTAAGGACATAGGAGATTTCAGAGTGCCAGGACATGATTTGGTGTCTTAGCTCAGCCGGAACTTCGGACGCAAGTAAAGCCTTGTCCAGCAGTCGCCAGTCCATGAGGTCAAAAGCACTGGACAGGTCCAGCGATAGTTGTGCACCTGCAAAATGTGGGCAGGGTTTCGGCTGTTGAGCGTGACGATCAACAACCGTAGGTGTGGAAATCGAGCAGCGATCCTGGACATATTTGCAGTGTGCAGCAACCCGATGGATGGCTTGGGCAGCATTGCGACCTGGCAAGTATGCAAATTGTGCCTGATCCGCAAGGAACCTCTCGGCATAGGGGCGCAATTTCGCCTGCAGTATGGAAGCATATGCACGGCCACTGGATTCAGTTAACCCTATCGGTCTGAGATTCTTTGGTGAAAGTGGTCGCGGAATCTTGGGAACAAGAGTCAACCATGCATTTCGCCAAAGCTCAGGTATTTGAGGCCATTGCCGGCACCATTGGCACAGGAGGGGCGCAACAAGGTCCGAGGTCAGCCTCCATAGAGAGTTTGTGGCTAGATGCGGAGGTGTAGCTTTGTGGGGTGACAATTGCGAGAGTGCCAGGGTCATTTCTGCCTCCGTGACTTCAATGTGAATGGGCGTCCGCTGGGGGCCCTGGATGCTGGTGTCCTCGTCTGCAGCATATAATTTGCGATAGTGCGTTTCCAGCTGTTTAAGCTGGGTCTTGGGGTCTTGCAGATGTCCACCAGAATCTCGCAATTGAACCTTCGGCTTGGAGGATTTGGGAGCTAGTGTGCGAATGCCAGCATAAAGCTTACGGGAGTCACCTGAACTGGCAGCAGCCTGTAGTTCTTGGAGCCTGCCATGGAACCAGTGCTTCTTGGCTTCTTTCCCGGCACGACGAAAGGCCTTGTGTGCCGTCTTGAAATGATGATAGCACCTGGAGACATAGAGCGGATTGTGCTGATCTTGAGCTTTGGCTGTCTTCCAGACTCGGTAGGCCTGCCACATGGAGCGAATACCATCCTGCATAGGCGGTGTTTGCCATAGTGCCAGCCGATGCTGTCCTGCGGGCGGCGGGAAAAATTGGGATGCACAGTGGATCAGAGTGTCATGCAGTTGCCCAAGGTCAGTGACCCCAGGCAGGGACGCCTGAACAGCAGAACGCAGACTTTGAATCCGCGGATCCCAGGTAGAGCGGCAAACCTGGATCAGGCCCCAATGGTCCCATGCTCGTTTCGGTGCCACCGGTTTGTTAAGAGTGTGGAAGCGCTGAAGCGGGACGCTGGCCTTCAGTGGTAGGTGATATCCACCAAGTCTCCAGGCAGCCAGTCCCAGGCGGAGAGGTTTCGCCTGCCTAGCACGATCATCTGCTTGGCTGGAACGCATGATGATATGATCAATGAGGCTAGCACCTTTGTTGTGATGGTACGTGGGGCCGGCCGCCTTGCACCATGAGTTAAGGTGTAGGAGGGAGTAGTCCTCAACAAGATGCTGCAACCGTGCCTGATCAGGCGGATGTGTGCCCGTGCTGTTGCCTGAACAGATCCTGGTGCCGGCTGCGGCACACGGCTTGATCTGAGTATTAAAATCTCCTAGCATGATCACTGTGTTGCGGGCAGGCAGAGCCGCTAGGATCTTACCAATGCACTCCCAGACAGCTAAGCGAATGGTTTTGGAGGATTGCAGTGCGAGTGGATGAGAGTTGTGCGGCTTTTGGTAGATGTGCAGCAGGTCAACTGCCCATTGGTCGTGGAGTATTCTCAAGTGTTGCACCCTTCCCGGTTGTGGGTCGGCGTAAACAATTCTGCAGTTACGGGTAGTATGCTTGTTGAGAAGGATCAGGAGCCCGGCAGATTTGTTGTCGGTGGTTGGGGAGGTGTACACATCCCATGTAGCAGTGGGGAATTGTGACGCCACCTTTGCCGTCCAATGAGTTTCTTGAACACACACGATCTGGGGTCGTTCGTCAGGTGGCATATTTTCAAGTGTTAACAGGAATTCCTGCCACAGGGCCTGGGACAGGCCTCCAGCATTCCATGAGAGAAACAACAGACGTCCCTGAGAGACTTTCAGAGCGGCCTGCTGCATACGACGCTCAGCCTGGGGGGCGGGTCGTTGGCCCCGATAGCCTTTGCAAAGCTGTTGCAGAGTGCAGACACGACCTCGATAAATCGTATGCTGAGCCTGGTCCTGTGCAGCACGACGTAAGGCACGTTTGTAGGATCTCTTCCTGGCAAATGTGTATTCATTTGAATTGACGGTAGCCTGATTGAGGGTCCCTGAGTGACGCGCTACTGTAGTGTGCAGGGGGTGTGCAGATGGCACTCCCCAGATCGACCTTGGGAGGGCAAGCAGAGTCGAGAGGAACAGGATAGGGCGAGGGCATAGCCTGGGGTACGTCGTCGTGCCCGGGGTCTGACTGGATCGATTCGGAGTTGACGGAGGGCAATACCTGTCGGCAGTGTGGATAGGTCGAGTGGCAGGTGTTGGTGTTTGGACTCCAGGGGGAGGCCTCCTAGAACGAGGAAGGCCGGGAGGGGTAAGATGTAGAAGTGCTGGAGCCCAGATGGCAACAAGACGAACAGGGAGACCCTGTTTGTAGAAGAAGAAATACCGGGGCTTTGACTGCGGTGGAGCATATCCTGGCAGCAGCTTGTCCATGCTATTTGGCACGCCACAGGGGCCTGCAGTCTGGTCGCTCTGACCAGCCCACGATGAACAGATGACTGAGAACGGAGAGGAGGTCAGGCTAGGGGACAGGCAGTACCTAGAGTGACTCCTAGATCAGAGCGAATAGTGTGGTTTTGTGGGGGGTCTCGCAAGACTGCCCTCACAGCAGAGTGTAGTTCATTGGGCTCCTGCCACGGCTTCCCGTCCCTCACCACGAAGGTGAGTTTCGGTCTCGTGAGCGGGTGGCAGCCGCTCACAACCCTCGCCCCTACCGACTGTTCGGAGGCTAGATGGACAACCAGCTGGTTTCTGAGAGATGACAGGTTGTCAGCCGTACGAAAATGTCGGTCTCCGGAATTGGGACCGGAGTGGCTCAAGGCAGGTATGTTGAGATTATGAGAGGGGCACTCGAGAGTGCTGGTTGTCCATGTTGTCAAAAATGCTGGCATCGACTTCAGAGTGCAGTGCAGCAGACTGTCTACGCAGCTAATCCATAGTGTGCAGGTCCAGTGCCGGGGGGGAGACTTTGGGTTGCAACTGCTCGGCGGAAACAGACTCGCGGGATCTGATCTTGTTAGCCTGCGAGGTG